GGGATGTGCCGGGGTTGGCTGGGATGTGCCGGGGTTGGCTGGCACGCTGCTTCTCCTCCTTCCTGCCTGCCTGCTGAAGCAGGGTGGAAAAAAGAAGTCACTTTTGGGGCCCTCTGGCCTAACCTACCATCCAAGCTGGCTGTACTTTGAGCTCAGATAAGCAACGGGCCACGTGTTGGCTTGCAACTGGTTTCTGGCTCGGAGAAGCACCGCCGAGGAGCGCAGAAAGCTTTCTGCTGCTGCGGGCCGGCGTTGTGTAGCTGGAGCTGTGGAAAGAGAGGGGAGGCAGGCTCCAGCCCAGGTTTCTGATCCCTCTGATCTCCAAGTTTTGAGTCCTTTCTGCTTGAATGGTAGGTGGGCGACCTGGTCTAGTGGAAAGTGTCCCTGTTCATGGCAGGGGGGTTGGAACTGGGTGATCTTTAAGGTCCCTTCCAACCCAAACCATTCTGTGATTGTATGGGGGCTGTACCGAGGGAGGGGACCCGTCCTAACTCACAGTCCAGCCCTGTTGGCGTAGTGATAGGGGAGCGATCGATGGGGAACAACCTCGTGCAGGACCTTTCTGCCTAATGGCTCCACAGGGGTCCCTTGGGAAGCCCCAGTGTTCACCAAGTTATCCAGGTGTTTGGAGAACTTGCTGGCAAAGCAACTCACGACAGCCCGTTGGTTCTGGCAGCGCCTTCTAGTCGTTTCCCGGGAACTGTAGAGAGATGTTGACGTCCACGTAAGTCTGGAATTCCTCCCTGGTTCTCCGCCGTGGTTTGGCTCACCTGGAGAGTGCGTTCAGCTCCTCGGAGCAACTGCTTCCACCCAACTGCGAGTCAGCGCCCTGGGTGTTCGGCCCCATCCACGGCTGGTCTGTGAGAGAACTTCATTTCATGCTGGCGTACGTCCAGCTGCTGGGGCTTTACGAATGTTCCCGTGTTTGCAGCACCAAGGAAGACTGACAGCCTTTCAGTGAGCTGGGTTTTAATTTAAGAATGTGTCTCTCTCCAAAGATTTTTGTCAACCCCAGGAGTGATTACTCCAGGGCTATTGCTGAAATACCAGCGTTTTTGAAGGTCAGCATCTGCATATTGGTCTCGGCGTCTTCCAGTATCGGCACAGATGCGTCCCTTTCTGTTGTGCAACTCTTTTGTGGATGCACAGGGGATTTTTTCCGTTATCACCCAAAGGCTTTTTGTCCATACAGGTTTTAGGCAGGCCTGCTTGGCCTTTAAAGGCAATTCCGGGCCTCAGTGTCTCTGTATGGGAAGGGTGGACTGCAGCCGCTCTGCTGCTCACATTCCTCCCAAGCCTGGGCTTTTCCAGCGTTCAGCATGAATATTGTTTTAAAGTGGGAAGCGTTTACATCCAGCCCAGCACACGGAATCGTGGCTGCTCAGGCTGAGACCTTGGTTTCATGCTCCAGGCCACGGTGAGAACCCGAAATCAAGAGCCTGGCCCTTGGCACTCTTCGTGGTGTGCTCACCTGGAGCAGTGGGGTGTGCTGTGTTCAACGCTACGGCTGTAAACCTGCCCCCGTGTTTGGGCTGGCTTGGGAGGTTTGGGTTTTTTTTGCTCCTAGCTTCCTCTTTAAATTGGAAATTCATTTTTACGTGGATGTTTATGCTTGGTTTGTCTTTTGTATTTGTAAAAGTAAATACAGAGCGAGGCAGTGTTATTGGAGCGCTGTTAGTGCTTTGTCGCTGCAAGTGACTTTACATTTGAAATAAAGGAGGAGGTCGTAGTCTGAGCTTATTTCTGGGTTAGGAAAAAGAAAGATGTGAACAGAGCTGCTCGAGGCCTGGGCAGTTTGTGTCTGTAGGAGGATGAGACTGGGGGGACCTTGAAGAATTGCAAGAAATCGCCAACCTAGGAAGCGAGGAGCGCAGGGAGAGGCTGCTCGTGTCCTTTCTTAAAGAACAACTGTTTAATTTGTAAAGCTCGAGGCCAAGGACAATGTGAAAGAAGGGATTGTTCCTTGCCCGGGTGAATGCAGAGATGACAGAGAAGAATTACAAATCTCTAGCCCAGGAGCTGCTTGAGCAGACAACCTAATCTTGTTTCCCCGGATATCGAGGGCAGCTTAAATTGCTGAAGTCTGTGAATGAAGAGTTGACCAAAACCTTACAGGTGGGTTTGCAGCACAGCCTTGGCCAACCAGCGAGGGGTGGCTGTGGTAGAAGGCCCTAGGAAATAGGTGAGATGATCAGAAAACCAAAATAAGGGAAGGCAGAGGGATGCTTGCGTCCTGCTGGGTTAAAGAGAGCCAGTCTGTCTCCCAGATACCAGAACAAAGAGTGTTTAATTCAGCAGGTCTATGCGTTAACCGTCCTATTCTTGTTACCTGGTGTCTTCCCCCATCCTCTCTTCTCTTCTGCTTTATCAGAGACCTCACTTCCCCCTGCCCCCTTTAAGAGAGGGATGGTTTAGAATCAGGATCGGTGCTCGCTGCAGCTCTCCAGCGCTGGCATAATGGATCCGTGACCTGATTTAAACCTGTGAGAGCTGCCATAACGTAAATATTTGATGGAACTACAGCTTCCCTTTTTAAGTCTGCTTCAGTCTTTCAAGCTAAATCATGGCAGGGTATTCCTGAAAGACACTTGTTACCGTGGAGTTGTTCTCGGCTCTTCTTTTAGAGGTTGTCCTGGCTTCGGACGTCGTTTCAGCCTCGTGTTGTATTTATGCAAAATCCAAGCAGTACGAGTAAATATGAACTTGTATTTGTGTCATAATACATGGAAAGAAAAGGAGCTAAATCCATATGTCAGCTCTTACCCCAGATGGGAAGCATGCTGTCAGTCAAGTCACGGTCACTCCTTGTTTGGGCAGGGATGATCCATCAGCACTGCTGCGGGGTCTCGCCTGGAGCGGCTTGAGGAAGGTGGTGAAGGCAGGGGCTTTGCTGAACGGCGAACAGGGGACGTGTTCCTTCGCTCTTTGGGCTGCTCTGGAGAGAAAACTGCTGTGTGTTTTGAGTCCTGGAAGGAGCTTTTTAAATGGATTGCCTCAATATCCTAGGGGCTGCGGGGTGGTGGGACAGCAGAGGAAAGAAGGTTTTAATTTAAGTTCTGAAAAAAAAACCAAACCAGTGTTAAGATTCGGAAGCAGCTTAACCTGGTACGGAAACAAGGGGTGCAGCAGCCCTTCTGGGCAGAGCCCAAAGGGTTCAGCCAAGCCAGCAGAAGCATATGGGAATCCTCCATCCGTTTGGCAGTGAAATGAGGTGAAAACCCGGGTTTGTATCTGTTCTGTGCTGGGGACGTGTCCCACACCCGGGTTTGTATCTGTTCTGTGCTGGGGACGTGTCCCACACCCAGGGTTCCTCCTGTGGAAAGGGAAGAGCTTGGTAGCTGAATTCTGCATCCTCTCACCGCCATCATCTGAAACACTTTGCTTTTGGGGTGGATGTGCTCTACTTCTACACAGGTTATGGTGCCAAATATGGTGGGGTTTAATTCCTTTAATATCTCTCTCTTTGTGGGAGAAGAGGGGAGTGGTTTTGAGGTGCCATTTGTCTTGAGCTTGAAGTTGAAGTAGGCAGCTGTGAAGCGTGGCTTACCTCTACCAGATACAGTCCTTAAAGCATGAGACATCTTCTGCTGTGATGTTGTAAGTCATGAAACCACAGGATTTTTTTTTTTTTTTTAAACAATTTAATCTGCAAGTTGGAACAAAAAAAGCCCTGTCATATCTAGAAGTCTGGAATGTGGACAAAGCCACGACAAGCTTTCTCATTCAAGACCTCGCATCTGAGGTGTTTTCTAGGAGACCAGAAGCACCAACTGATGAATTAATTGCTGTATTGATGCAAAACTTGAAGTATTAGTTCACTGCACCGGTCTCTGCCCCTGAATGACTTACAGCTGATGTTGCAGCTTCAAGTTCCTACAAAATCTTTGTTGGGAGACATAAAAAAAAAATCCCCAAACTGATCATAAAGCGAATGTTGAGCTTAAGTTCTGTGGTTAGTGTTTATTCAAGAGGATCTTGCAGCTTTTAAAAACACTTCATCAGACGTGGGTGCTCGCTTGTGCTGCTGGGCAGTTCTTTTCAAGGCAATACTGAACCACAAAAGCTTTGCGGTGTAAGCAGAGGGTTTTGCTGAATTTCGAGGGAACGGATGAGGACCCTAGGGTCAGAATGTTGCCTGCCTATTTTAAAGGTTACATAGCTATATATAGCTAAGGCTGGGTTTTCTTTGAAACTAGTCAGCTGAGTCCTTGTTCAGTAAATTCCAGACTTCTCCTGTAAAAAGAAAAAAATAATCTTTGGCTGTTTTCTGCTATTTACCCGTGTGTCTCTTTTGCAGGCTTCATGAATAAAATTTTCCACCCCAACATTGACGAAGCGTAAGTAAATCCCTAGCGTGTGGTTTTTCTAAGGAGTTTGTCTAATTGTTGCTGTGTTTTGGCTTCATGATAACGCGCTGGTGAGTTGAATCCTGCTTTCATCAACCTAAGAGTCCAGAGTGGGGGATTTGAGAGAAGTAGATGTTACCGTAAGTTGACTTTCAGGAGTGGGTCAGGCTGTGGGCAGGACTGGAGAGCTGCAGACTCTTGCAGATGTGGTCTTTGTGTTGCAGCACGCTTCATTTGCAGAGAATTCAAGGTTGCCAATCCCCCTCCTCGTTGGCCTTGTGCCGGCTTTCTAGACACGAGGAGCAGCGTTGGCTAAGCCGTAGCTCCCTCTTTAGCTGAAGTTCAGGTCTCTGTAAAATTCTTCAAACCAGAAGATGTTCTGCCACGGGGTTGGTTTTTTTTTTCAGTTAAGGGGAGCCCCCTCTGCTTCAGTCTCTCCAGCAGAGCCCCATAAGGACCAACTAATTCACTAAAGGCTCCAATTTACTCTCTTTTGTGCAGAATATGAAGGTTCATGTAGTTAAAGGCTGCCCCTCCATTAACCACAAGACAGAGGTAAACCACAGCTTATCTGGAACAGCGGGGCAGAGGCAGGGCAGGGGAAGGGAGAGGGTAGGTTATATTAAATCCCTGGCGTATTTTTGAGTGTGACTGTGTTTAATTCCATCCTTTCCATATGTTTCAGGTCAGGAACTGTATGTCTAGATGTAATCAATCAAACTTGGACAGCTCTCTACGGTGAGTTTGGCACTTCCCTGAAAGCTGGGCACGTGAACGTCCGTATTTGGCGTGTTAACATAATGCAGCTTGCTGGAGACAGATGATCTTGGGCCATTTGGGGGGGTTTTGTTGTTGTTTGGGTTTTTTTTTTACTGAAGTTTTAGACTCTTCACTGAGCCAAGATCACGTGAACAATAGGATTTTCATGTGAAAATACTTTGGCGACCTGTTTTTATGCCAGAGGCGTGAAAATAGTCCCTAAACCTCACAAAGGATCGCTCAGTCCCTTGCTTGGTGTTGTCTGGCAACTGCACAACAGCACCCCGCCATGATTCAGCGTTGAAAGAGAGGAGGGACTGTATCTGAGGGGAAACAGAGTTCTGGCTACCCCACCCGTGTTTTGTACGTGCGTTCAAGCTGGGTGTTCTTTGTGCACGGGGCTGTGATCCCACTTCTACAGAAGATGGCACCAGAAACCGTTCCCGTTTGTCGTGGCAGCGTCGCTTCAGTGCAGGCTGGGAGGCGGTGTGGCGTCCGATGACCGCGCTGCTCGCTGCAGAACCTTTTGGCTTTCCCGTTAGGTCGTTTCTGGCTGTGACCTCTCGTTTTTAGAGATAAAAAGCTCAGCTGGTAGCTGAAGACCCGTTAAAAATGCCTTTGGGGAAAGCTGAAGTGGCTAAAAGGAATAGAGCTGAGGATCTAGTCTGGGTTGGCTGCGTTTTAAAAACGTGAACTTCTTCGAATGTTCCGATGGCGCTTTGCGGAAGAGTATTCAGGGGGAGGGTGCCCATCAAATCCTTCATGTTCTTTGATGAAAACCTGGTTTTACCTATGCTTTGAAGCAGTTGCTAGAGAGACAAGCTGCTTCACGTTCCTCGCCAGCACAATTTGTAAGGAAATCACCAGACTTGGTGAATCCTGGGTGGGAAATCGCTATAGCAACTTGTTGAACTTCACTCCTCATCAGAACGCCTGAAGTCCTCGTGTGGTAGATGCGTGGCGTACTCTTCACGTGGTTTTGGGAGGAGAGATCAGCTTAGCCCTGACCCAGGCGGTGTTGCTGAGGGAGGAAGAGGATGCTCTTGTGTCCTGGGAGGATCTGAGGCGCGGCGGAGGCGTTAAAGCGGCGTTAGCAAACCCAGCCCTCCGCGGGGGACGAACCTGCATGGTTCAGTCGGCAGCAGAATCCAGCTCAGTGCAGCGGGTGCTGCTGTTCCACAGCCTGAAATGCCACCTGCAGATCGTGGGCAGGGCTGGACAAAAGAATATCGCTCCAGCGTAACGGCGGCGCGGGGTTTTGTGCTCTGGGTTTTGCTTCGGGAGGCGCGCAGGGAGAGCCTCCCTGTTCCGCAGCCCGCTCTCCCAGACGGCCCCGGCGGGGTTGCTGCACTATTTCCAAACAATTTCATAGGAAGGCTTGCCGTGAGAGGTTTCCTAACGAGTGCTGCTGTATTTCTGTCATCGTTGCTGCTCCTAAAGGTGGAGAAAACAGCTTGGTGTGTGCTGTGCTTGTGGTGTATTAGTAGCAGCAAGCTTGGAGAAGCCTTCTGCCTTTTTCCTTGCGATACCAGCCATCGGTGTCAGGCAACTGGGAGGTATCGGGGGTGTGTTGTGCCCAGAGCACCTTCCACAGCACCTGGTGAAACTTGGCGGTAGGAAGCGCGTCGTTGGACAGGCCTCTTGCTGCAAAGGGAGGACGCTGGGGTGACTGCCTTCGCTCTGCCCCCCTCGCTCAGCCGTCATCAGACACTGGAGTGCCTGCGTCGCCTCGCGGCTTCCAGGGCTTTGCCTCCTTAGGTGAAATAAGGAGGTGGCCCGTTCCTGAACGTGAAATGAAAAGGGGGAAATAATATTTCCGGGTGCCTCTCGGCGGAGCTGTGGTGTTTGGAGCGTCACCCCTTTACACCAGAGCGCTCCTGCGCTGGCAGAGGATATGGGTCAGCTAATTCGAGGAGCGACTAAGGTGGAAGAGACCCGGAATAGCTACCAATAAATTCATGAAGGCCTCGTGGTTAGGTTCCTTCGCCTTCCCTAATGAAGTAGCAAGTCATTAGCGCTAGTGGTTAGGGTTCGTGCACATGTTCAACTAGTTCCTGCTAGACCAATGCTGCTTTTGGGGGTTTGAAAGAAGGGGGAAATTCCTGAGGCCTCTTAAAGACACAAATAACATCAAATCCCTGCAGTGTGAGCCACGGTGGCCTTCTAGGGCTCTGCTTGCTCAGCCTACGTGAAACTTTAGTTGTCGAATGGCCACAAAGAGGTCCTTGGTCTCAGCCTGCTCCGTGGAGAGACTTGACCCAAGAGCAGGTGGTTTCACCGACTAAAGTCAACTTCTTGCTGACACTGTCTGAACCCAGTCCCTAGGAGGTTGAACTGGTTTACCAAGGGCAAGCCACTCCCGCAGCAGAAATTATGAAGAATATTGGTGGATCTGCAGAGGTGGTAACATGGGGCAATGGCCAAGATCTGCCTGGACCGACGGTGCAGCTCTGCTGAAGCTGTATCTTCGCTGGTGGTGGAGTTGGAGCCTGGTTTTCTGTGGCCAGAGCCAGAGTACCCATTAGCACAGGGAGTGCGCTTGGAGATCTCTTCCCCGCTACCTGCCCACCCGTTTTTGAAGACTCTTGTAGAAAGTGGATGGCTCTCAGGTCCTTGCCCGCTGTCAGATGTGGCTGGATTTAGCAACTCGGTGGTGGCTGGGCTCAGGGATGGTCACACATGGGACCTTCTTCCTCTAAGAGGCAGGTCGAGATGGCTACACTGCTCACGTGGGGGATCCTGGGGAGCTTCCCTGCCAACAGCTCCTCCTTGATCCGTGTTAGAGGGGACTGGTGATGCTCGTCAATCGGCAGGATTTCTCTGTCATCAGGAAAAGAAACACTCTGTTTAATTAGGGAGGAAAGGGGGATCCCCTTAAAAGATGTGTGGAACATTCACAGGCAAAACCCAACGGAAAACCCCACGCAACGAATTCTGCTCTGCCTGTATCAGCAGCTCTCCAGTGGCTAAAGCGAAACCTGGCGCACCGGGGGGTTAGTCTCCGCTCTGTGTGGGCGTGCCTGGGCCTGCTTTTTCGAGAAGAAATGATGACACAAGGCTTGTTCCTGAACACCCCCACCGCTGAAGTGTGGTACTTGTCGTCTCAGGGCTGTGGGAAGAGGGTTTCGTGTATCCACAATTACTCATCGCCACCAGAAGTATGTTCCCTGTTGTGGGTTATTTAGTGATGGATGCCAACTGGCACCAAGGTGTTAACGGGAGCTTGTCACATTCTGCGGATTGTTTTGAGTCGGAGGAGGGACTTGTTGGTTGCTCTTTCTATTAACACGATCATCTAAACCACTTGGGAAGATGTTTTATGCCTGAGATATGTCAGTTTAGTCATGGAGCGTAAGACAATTAAAGATGGCAATGGAGGGAGGCAGAAATAGGAGGAGAATTCAGTGGGGGGTGAAGCACAGCGCTGTTTCTTTTGCTTTTTTCCTTTTTTTTTCCTTAAGCCAGGGCTGAGCCTCGATGGAAAACAATTGTGTCCTTCCACTTTTTTGCTTAACCCCCAGATATCTGTATCTACGTCGCCGGGATGTCGAGTAGCTTGTGCAGTTAGCTGAGGAGCTGCAGCTTACCTCCAGCAGCAGCTCTCTTATCAGCCGTGTAGGTCCTTTCCCTGGAGCAGTTTCCTTTCTTTTAACTTTCCTTTATTTTAACTTGTGCCCCCATTTTCAGTACATCTGCCCTTCAAGCTTTGCGCCCGCTGTTCCACTTGCGGGGTGATGAATCAGACTGAGGGTCTGTGGCCGTGAACAACCGTGTCTTTCGCTTGCAGATCTCACCAATATATTTGAATCGTTCCTGCCCCAGCTGCTGGCCTATCCTAACCCTATAGATCCTCTAAATGGTGACGCTGCAGCCATGTACCTCCACCGACCAGAAGAGTACAAACAGAAAATTAAAGGTAAGGGAGTAAATAACGTCTTGTGGAATGAGTGACGTGGCTGTGATGCCACCCTGGGGGAACGGGGACTCTCTTGGCTGCACGTTTGTGTGTCGATGCCCACTCCTTCCCATTACAGGGTCCCTGTTTGTTTTAAATGGGGGGGCGGGGGGTAGCCTGAAGTAAAGGGGCAGATGAACTGCTGCTGTGGTGTGTGCAGTACGTGGGGCGAGGGTTTCAAACCATTAGCAGGCCCCAAGCTGGGAAGGCTCTAAGCAAACTGGGTTAAGATTCAACGTGATTTTGAGAGAACGAAGAAAAGATGCAGAAGAAAAGGCGCGCGGCCGAAGGAGGGACGAGGAAAACCGCTAAACTGGAGCGGGAGCGTCCAGTTGCAGAGTTGCTGGGTAGACAGTGGCTGGTTAGCAGTTCTGTGAAAGGGGTCTGGGAGCAGCCATCAAGGAATCGGTGACGCTGTTGCAGACAGGGCTTTTGTACTGTGACAGAACAGGAATTTTCAGTAAATGCCGAGTAAATCGTTCCTTGCTGCTTCCTAGGTAAGCCGAGGCTTGCGAGTGCTGTGCCTGGTTCAGGGGCTGCCATTTAAGACCAATTAGTAAAGTCTGGCAGGGTGTAACGAGGGCAGATGGTCTCGAAGGTGTGTCTTGAGAGAGGGAACGAATTGGAGGAGTTTAACCTAAGGGACCCAATAGGGTTAGGAGCTTGATGTGTCCAAGGTGCCTTCAGAGAGGGAGGGAGTGATTTATCCTGTGTTCTGTGTGAGCAGGATGTGGTCACAGGCGTGTAGCTCGGCCAGGGGAGCCCGGGCTAAACATTAACAGTGGCTGTGGAGGGTAGGTGAGTGCTGGTGAGTCTGCTCCTGGAAGGATGTCAGACAAGGAAGGTCTACCAAGCTGAGGAATGAAGTCAGTACCTCCTGGGATCTCAAGGAAGGACTCTCAAATACTGTGGATAAGCCTGGCGATAGGAGGACTGTCCTAGCAAGCTGGCGAGCGAGAGACAAATTGAATTAGTCCTGCAAACGTAAGAAACCAGGTAAAAAAAAAAAAATAAAATAATCAGAATGGCACTTTAAATTTGCACTCTGCCTTCCCTGGAATCAGCTGCCTGCAGACAGGAGCAGGGCGCCGTTTCCTGGTGCAACAGGCCGACGGCAAAGCCACGGACTTTATTTCTCCCCTGATCCAGTGAAGCACAATCAGCATTTGGCCCAGTGGTGGGAAATTTACAGCTTTTGGCCCAGATTTGATCTTCAACAAAGTTTTTTAAGAGGCTGGGACCACCTGATTTTACTTTTTTTTTTCTTTTTTTTTTTTTTTTCTTTTTTGGTTACTGAATAACCCTAAGACTTGTTTGTCCGTGGGAGCCCTGCCAGAAAGGTTCACAGGGCCTGGTCAACGAGGAGAGCCTCCGTGAGCGGCGTGATCTGATCGCCTTCCCGGCGTGAGGCGGTGTAGCAGCTCTCCTAACGGAGCGTTGTGGGAGCTCGCTTGTGTTCGGAGGGCACGGGTATCCCAGCAAGACATGGGGTTTGGTGGTGGAGCCCTTCCGTCGGCTCTGCCACGTCACTCCGGGCGCGGTTAAACCTCGAGTCACGTTTGTTCTGACGCGAAATGGCTCTTCATCCGCTGCAATTTTTTGTTGGAGGGCGGGACTACAAATGAGGCCAAGCAAAGCTGTGATTTAAATGCCGAGTTATTCAACCCCCTTTGCTTGACTCCTCTGACAGCCGCGTGACAGGATGGTAAGAACTAACCCTGCAGATCTGGCCCGCTCGGCATCCTCAAGTCCACTGCCTTTTGTTTTTCGGTATGACAAAGCTTCCAGGCAAAATGATTTGTCAGATAAAATCTCCAGGCCCAACATGAGGGACACTTTGGGTGTCCTCTGCGCTTTAATGAAACAGGAATAAAAAGATACACCCTGGGGGGGGGGGGGGGGGCGGTTTTTTGAAAAACCCAATCCCAAACAAACAAACAGATGCTGGCCAGCAGCAGGTGCTTCCAGGAAGATCTGAGGACATCCCTCAGGGAGGCTAAATGGGATAGTCTGCTCCCTCGTTTCCATCCTGATAGCCAGGTACAGGCTGTGAAGATGATCTGGAAGGAGTTTTAAGTGCTTGCAACATGTCTCGTGTTCCACATACCCGAGAGTATTCTGCTGTCTCTTCCCAGGCTTGCGTGACAAGTATAAGACAGAGCTAAACACCGTCATTCCTCATTTTGTAGCGTATTTAAAAATAGCCTTGGACATGTTAAAATTGGTGCATTGGATTGTAGCAGCTTCTCTGCTCTGGGAAACTCAGTAGTGCAGATCCATAATTTATTGCTGCTTTTCCTCATTTTTTAGTTATGAGCGCACGGAACAGTCGTTTGACATGGTGGCAGTGAAGGGATGGGCGTGGGCTTAAAGATGTGGCCCAAGATTTGTAGCTCCTGTGAGTCTTGGTGTGAGGCCCAAACAGATAAGCGTTTATCGTGGAATTTGTACAAATCCACTAATATTACCACTATACAGCTCGAGACTGTGGTTCTTGGCGTTAGATCCTTCAGGTGAATGAAGTATTTCATGGGCCCAGAGCCAAGGGCTCCTTTAAAATCGCCCTGACAGTCCGTGGTGTCTGGCCTGGTCGCTGGAAGAGCACCAGAGGGTGGGCTTCAGATAGGCAAAAATGGCTCAACATTTGCTTGTGTGGGGCTGTTGGGAATTGGTGCTCGGCTCCCACGTGTGCTGCTTTTTCCTTCTCTTTGGTAGATGTAATATGAAAGCTTCTTTTGGGAGCGTGAGGGGGGTGAGTAACAGCAGCTGCAGGGTGCTGAGGGGCAGGCTGAGGGAGCAGAGGACATCTCTGGGAGCAGTTCTCCCACGTGCCAGCTCTGAAGTTCCAGTAGAGTCCTTTGAAGCACCAGTATGGCTCAGAGGCACGTCCCAGCCACAGGGCACAACCACAGCTTGTTCTTGTTGCTCCAGGGTTTAAAACCAGATGAATCGGAGCGGCGTTACCCTGGTAAGAGTGGGTGCATCAAGGCTTTCCCTCCTTGATGTGGACAGGCTTCTGTGGAAGATGGTTTGCCAGTATTATTTAGATGTTGCCGTTTCTTTCCCTTAAGAGACTGAAGATCCACGTTCAATACAGCATTCAGCCCAGAAGCTCGACCTTTCCCAGATAAAACCTTCAGGAAAACGCAGCCCAGGGGCTTGGTAGCTTTTCTGGGTAGAAGATGGCATTTTGGGTTTGAAATGCTTCAAGCTGTGGTTTAGCTTAGGCTCAAGCAAGCCCTTTCCAACAGTAAGAAACAGTGACTGCCGCGTCCGGATCTCCAGTGGCCCCGAGAGCACTTGAAGTCAGTGAAGAAGTGCTGCTGGCCTCCTGTCCTGCCGTGGTCACGGGCTTGTGGCTGCTGTGTTTGGGGACTCCCAGGGCAGCCCCAGCAGTTGTTTAGCTGGGTTTTGGGGTAAGCGTAGAGGGAATGAATTTCTGAGGTGTCATCCATGGACATCCAAAGTCCTTCAGCGAAGGAACTTGGGTTCCCTTTGCCGGGTTGCGCAAGAATAACAACTTACCTGGGTAAACCCCCCTTTTCCCGAGGGACGTGAATTCTTGGAAGGCCAGGGGAAGGGAGGAGCTGCTACAAGAACATGTCATGTCGTCATCCCGTCTCCTTAGCCCTGCTGGTCCGCTACTGCCAGCCCACCTTCCCGTGGAAGTTCTCAGAAGTCACGCTGCTTTTTTGGGTCCCTCATTCAGCTGCGCCCTCTCGTCTTTGAACAGTTAGGTCTGTCGCTCCAATTCTTCTCACTTTGCAGTGTGTCCGTCTCTCTTGGCAGATGGTGCCCTGCCCCAGACTCTGCACCTCCTCTTCTCCAGGACAGGCAGGACCTAGGCTCCACGGTGCCACGGGCAAGCACCTTCCAAGAAGGGAAGGTTCTGGGTGGCCGGGACCCGAGGATGGAGCCCAGGGGTGCTTTTCTGTGGCAGCCTGAGGGCGATCCGAGACCTTGGGCGCTCCGTGCTTCCCGCTGTTTACGTGCTTTATCGGTTCTTAACGAGTTCTTGCAAACCAGATTGGAGCGGCCGCTTCCGCAGTCGGAGCGAGCAGAATGACGGCTGTTAACCAGCCAGACCGAAGCTGCCTGCGCCACTAGATGGAGGAGCTGGAGCTCCCTGGGCTCAGAAGCACCTTCCAGCCACCTCTCGCAGCTTTTCCAGGGCGGAGCAGCTCTGCCAAGGCCACCAGCTGCTCCATCCTGGGGACTTCTCCGTGCGGTGTTGGCTCGGGGTGGCTCTGTGTCGCTGTACTCCTGAACCCGGAGTAACGCGTTTGGGCTCGGCGTCCCTACGTCAGCTCCAGAAACACGGAGGGGAGGAAAAAAAACCACCCCATGATGATGGAAACTTCTTGCAGAGTATTGTCCCTTCCAGGAGGCTGAAGGGTGGGGGTGCAGAGGGAAGGAGGGAGGGCTGTAAGAACAGCCAGGCTCTGCAGAGCAAGTCTTTAAAACCAGGGTTGTAGCACTTACCTGGCATCAGATGTGTCCTCCTGCAGCTTTCAGGGCAGCCCCCTGCTGATATGGTGAGGAGTAAAAAGCAGTTGGTCTGTGCTTCCAGAGGAGAAGTGCTCCTGGTGGACCTCGATCCCTGGGAGGAATTAAAGAACCACAGAGCTGGGATAGCCGCGGGGCTGGGACTGGGCCGTGGCGTTGACAGTTCAGCACGGGGGCTCCTCTTTGAGCACGAGGGGATGGTGGTATTCCTCCTTCCTTCAGTTTTTTTTTAACACTGCTGTTTGGAGGAGGCTTTGGTGTATTTTAATACCTTCCTAGCTGGAAAGAGAATGATTGTTGCAACGGAGATTCCCCAACGGCAGCGTGGGAAGACCGCCCCTCTCCTCCCCGAGGCGCCTGACCTGCGGTGCGGAGGAGGTGCTGGCGGGATGCTGAGGTGACATCACTTTGTCATGCTATGAGGCTGCTTTCTCTGGTGAGGTGGAAAAGGGGAGATAAAGAAGAGGAAGGCTTGAAGTTGAGGCTGAGCACCCCTTCTTTAGCCCGGTTCTGTGCCCGGCGTTCCCCCCCAGCTCCATCCTGCAGGAACAGGCTTTCCCTGCTCCAGGCGGCCTCCCTGCTGGGGACACCAGCCCCTCCTCGGCTCTCGGAGGGGACACTGCAGCCACGAAGGAAGGAAGGGGGTTGCCAGACTGGGTCTGACTGGTCCGATCCCCTTCGTGTGGCCTTTTTGCTCCCGCCCTCTGCGCGGAGGTGACCGTGGAAGCCTCGCAAGCCGCGCTTGGCAGCGGTTATTCCCCCCCCTGCCTGCCGGAATCCCAGTCCACCAGTGTTCCTGCTTGCTCCTGGCTGAAGTTCGAGGTGTTGATCTGGGTGCCCAGAGCCCGTGTGATTTGGACCCTGCTGTGAGGTACTGGTTCGGTCGGTGACCTGCAGCACGGTGGCCCGGCTCCCTGCGGGTTTTTCTCGGCTAATCCTGTGGCTGCTGCCTGCCCTGGAGCAGGTTGCAAGAGCTGCGCTTTGAAAAACAGAGCCTGGGGCAGACCCGTGTTTGTTTTAGGGCTGGAGGAGGGAGCTTTTGCTTTTTATTTGAATAAATTTCAAAAACAACAGTGCAGCTCTTCCTGCAGCAGCCAGTCTCCTGCTCTGCTTTCTCTCGCCATCCTTCTTCACCCTGTGCTTAACGCAGAGTTTAGCCTGGAAGTTTAGTCTGGCTCTCAGCTTGGCTTCAGGGGTGGTTGCTCTGTGCTGTCGGTTTAAACTCTCAGATCTTCCCGCCTCAGGCTGTGGAATGGTGACATCTCAATGGCTTTTAGGCTTGTTCTCGAGGTCACCACGGTAGCTCCTACTTGGGCAGCAGGTCCTGCCCCGTTAAGTGAGATACACCAGACTGGGGAGGGCTTGGGTTGTTTCCAGCTACGAGCTGACGTGGGACCTGCGGGATTGTACTTGTTGGAGAGGGTCTGGCAGGGCTTTAGGGTCTCCCTCAGCTGTTTCCATGTGCTGTTGGACGATGCTGCCTTTGGTAGTACGGTAACCGGGAGGACTTCCCGCACGCGATGTGACCCGACCACCCCTGTGTCACAGTTCTCTCGTCCTCTGACTGTTGAATATGTGCTGCTTACATGCCTTTTCTTTTCTGTCACATGCAGAATACATTCAGAAATATGCAACAGAAGAAGCACTAAAAGAACAGGAAGAAGGCACCGGGGACAGCTCGTCTGAGAGCTCCATGTCCGACTTCTCGGAAGATGAGGCTCAGGATATGGAGTTGTAGTAGAAGAGGCAACCTGCTTTTCAGAGAGACTCTAATTTCCTAACCATGAGAAGCAGACTATAATATTCATATTTAAACAAAGCAATTTTTTTTATTACTAAACAAGGTTTTTATGAATAATAGCATTGATATATATATATATATCACCCTTTAGATCTTGATTTTCTTGGTCATTTCTCGAACCCGAGGTGCATAGCATATTCCCACATTCCATTTTGGTAGCAATATGCAGCCCGAATGCATGCATTCAGATTCCGTTTGGCCAAGTGAACTTGTGTGCTACTGAACTCTGTCAGCTAAACCAGCTGCCCTGGTAGGTAGGGAGTTAGCAGAAAAGAAAAAAGAAAAAAAAAAAAACAGAGGTTTGCTTTCATAGCGATGTTTCCAAAGACGCCACCTTGGATGCTGACGTGGAACAGCGTGGTTTTTTTTTCTCAAAGCGTGAAATTTGGGGGATGATAGACTAACCGTGTAGAGCAGACAGTGGAATAAAAGGTGCTCCTTCAGGTCAACCTTGCTGATCGTATTTTATGTGGAGTCACATTTAAAACAAAAGAAAAAAAAAAAAAAAGAAAAAAAAAAAGATGAAAACAAACAATACAAATGCATGGAGCTATTCAGAGCATTGAAGCTTAAAAATTTTGACTTGGATTTTAAGTCCGTTTTTATACGTGGACTCCTGCCTGCCCTTCTGAACTGTGGGGACTGACAACCACTGGTCTCTTCGCTTTTGGGACTTTTGAGAGCCTTCATCTGGATGTTTATTCACTTCCTTGGTCTGGATTCCGAGCTGTTCCCTTTTCAGGAGGAAAAAGAAAAAAAAAAAAAACAACCTCAACACAAAACCCCCCCCAACAAAACCCCCACGAATGATGCTCTCTGAACAGTGCTTTGATTTAGCTGGAGCACATCTGAAGTCAAACTCTCCCTTTGTCATAGTTTGGAAACTGTTGCCCTTTAATGGCATCGAGTTTGCCTTTTTTTTTTTTTTTTTCCCCCTCTCCTCTCTCTTGCTTCAAGTATGGTTAAACACCTCGCAAACACGCTCCATCTCCAAAGAGGGTCCTCTGACCAGATGGATTAGCCTTGCTGAGAGCTTCAGATCCACGAAGGTTGGCCCGTTGGCTGTAGGCCACGAACCCATCGGCACCGATTTTATTTTCCTTTATT